ACTTAAGGCTTTCACTTGCCTCTGTCAATTAGCTGTCTGGAATGTGGATGTGCTTCGTTCAACGGTAGTATCAGGCGCCACCAATATTCGCATATATCTCGGTGAAATCAAGTCGGTTTTCTTGCATGTACAAGAAAGGCTACTCTTCCAAGAATACGAGAAGCTGGCTAACGTTCTCCGAAAGAACTGGTTACGACGACTACTGAGGATCAGTTGATTCGATCATGTGATAAACTACTACGTTCACGAGTATACCTGTTGCGCTCAAAGGCAGAAGACTGGCATGGCTCGATCATCCACTGAGTGGTAAGAGAGATAGACCAACGAATCAGCTGCTACTGTGAGAACCCAGAAACGGATGACGAGTAGGTCGGTGAACAGCAAATTACATGGCTAACGAAACAAAGTGGCGACCTCTTGTCGATGGCTAATTTTTCCTTCATGGATGCAGTAGAACACTCCTGATATAAAAGTGAAGGTATCTACTTCTCCGTAGGGAGATAAGGAGCCGTAGCATGATTTTTAAGCAAACTGCAGTTTAGCCACGCCTGTTATTAATGTAGAACGTAGCCTTATCTCTGCAGTTTTCAAATAATTTAGTGTTTCTTACGTTCGTCATGATGCTGAAGCCAATAAACAGGCTTAGATAATGAAAGAAACAACGCGCAACCATGCATTGCAGGTTTTAATTTACAACGGAGCCGCGAGTCAGGTTATCAGATTACCTCCTGAATCTCTCTGGCCAACAATCAATAACCACACTTGCTTTAAACCTAAGCAATTATGTGCATACGCGTCAGGTATCTGAATACTGAGCTGTTCCTTGGTCAGTAAGTATTCGTCGACACGTCTGAACAGCACGTTAAAAACAGCTAACATTTCTATCCAAAAATCACTTATCAGTACCTCATTCTGTCCTTCTGGCGGGGGGATCGCATTACAAATGAAGTACAGTAGAGTGCACTCTTTCTACTCGTAAAGTTCTGTCATTAATAGTGAAATTGTTGGCTAACGAAGTAGCGATATCGATAGATAGACAGACCTAGCAATGCCTTTAAAGCAAATCAGCCTTGGCGAAAAACTGCACAACCGTGAATGGGCTGAAAAAATTGTGAGACTGTTGGCATTAATCTTCACAGGATGTAATATGAATTCATTATGCTATGTGGTAACATCAGTATATGCACAAATGTATTATAAAAGAATTCGTAAAGCCCTTATTTCCCATCCAATAGAGGATGATTTAGCCCCTAGATCGAGGGAGTCAATAATGGGTACACGACACGAAGCACTAAAATGAACATGATGCATCCAAGATCAATTTTCATGACAAACGTCCTTTCCAATTCAGAGGAATTACGGCGTGATATGCACGGTTAGGCAGGTTTAATAAGCACAATTTACCAGACTTTGACCATCCAATTCATGAACGATATTGCATTTTTCATTTTCTGATACCATCCAGTATGCCTTGTTCCGTCAGTACTCCCGCCTTTGTTGCTCTGGGGGTCATCCTTTACTTAGATGTTTGACATGCTGAAAAGTTTTCATGACACTTTCTTCGAGGATCAATACAGACGGTGCCCCTTTCGGTTTGGTTCTTGGTGAGGATATCATGTGTTTAAGTATAAACACCTTAAGTACATTAACAGCGCTGTCATTCAGAACTCTCAGAGACACGTTAGCGGTTTTTAGAGGTTTCGGGCAAGTATTTCTTGTTACTGCGGAGTTCACTATCCATCGTATTTTGCCTTGTCATGCAATTACGTTTCCTTTCTATTCTTTATACTGGAGATGTAGCAATTAGGTCAGTGTGGAAAATACAGTTGCAAAAATTATACATAACCTCACCATAGCTTTGCAAAGAAGATAGTATTTGATTTTGTAATTTTCATTCTTTCAGATCGTAAGAAATCATTGCTAATCTGCATCGGCAATCGGCTTCTTCTTCAATCAAGTGCTGCAGCAATTATAGCAAGTTTATTGATGGCGCTGAGAACTATTGAATGGCTTCCGGCAGGCATTTAAGGAATTTCATTACTTCACTTGGGACTTTGCATGTGAAGCGCCTCTTCG